GAGGTTGGAGTTCCATACACTGGTCAGGAGTTCCTGTGCTTGCTCCACGCTGTCGGAGAGCAGGCTGATAGTAGTCCAGCATAGTCCAGGTCTGTCAGGACTACTGTGGGGTGTCGTCTCGACCTCCTTGGTGTTAGAGTGAAGCCAAGATCCTGCTCTCGTCCACTGATGGCCTTCCAGTCGCTAATCACTCTTTCTCTTGACTTTTCACCTACTGATGGGTAAAGAAAGGGATGGATCAATGAGGGACTGTGGAAACTTTAAAAGGTTGATACGGAGTAGCGATGGGATTGGGATAGTGGTAAACGTAAGTTGAGTTAAAAAACAAAACCATAGTAGTGGCTGTTTCATGCTGCACAGAGGGAACTATAACTGCTCAGCTCATAGTTTTGGTCCAGATCGGAGGTCTAGCTCTAGAGTTCAATTATAAGCACACTGCCCCTCGTGACCTCCTTAAAAATCAAAACACAACATTAAATTGAGCCATGGGGTGTCATTCCAAGGTTTGCTTGTATTGCAAAGAAATAGTAAGTTCTTTAAAATGCCTCTGTTAGATCGTAATATTTTTTTGTCAGGAAGTTGGTTTAAACTTTAGTCATTCTGGTATTTAGAGATTCAGTGAGTAAACCTGTTACCTAGTTACCCTAACACCAACTGTAACAATAATATTTTTCTTATTTCCCCAAAGCCTGTTTTCAAAGACTTACCCCACACTTAAACAGGAATAACATATGTGCATAGGGGAAATGTTATAAACAATTGTGTATTCTGCCTTTTTTTTATTGAACATTATAAATGTACATTACCAGAGACATTAGAGGACATCAGTTATATTTTAAACATCTAAGTACTGTAAGTATGTGGGAATATTAAATTGTGTTACCTGAGCATTAAGAGCAGTTGAATACAATATGAACTTAAATAAGGAAAGATCAAGTTAAAAAATGTGCCACTGTTTTTGATTGAATGTGTTGCACCAGTTACCATTGGCCCTGTGCAGCATCCTTTGTCACAATTAAGCTTTTTTTAAATCAAAACATGCCACAACATAAATAAATAGTCTATCCTATCAAACCTTCTAAAGCTGATCTACATAACTGACTTTAAATCAGCCTATAGATGTAAATCTCATATAGCTGTTAAGCTCTTTAAGAATATTTATTTTCTATATACGCTATTTCTACCAACAAATACCACCTGCAAACCCGATAGACCCCACAGCAGGCCAACATCTGTAATGACAAGCTAGGTCAAGCCTCAGCTCTGCCTGAAAGGTTTGACCCTTGACCCCCCAGGCATTATGTCTTCCTCTGGGGTGGTGGCTTATCATTGCTCCAAAAAGCTGATATTTCCCACCCAGGACAAAGACTGGTAAAACACAACGTAACCAGTCGGGTCCTCAGACAGTGCGTCGGAACAGAGGAACAGCATCCCCCCATTTAAATGGTTGGACGGTTGTTGGCCTTTTATTGTCTGAGCATGAAACCAGGGACACATGTTGGGTGGTAAAAGTGTCAAGGCCTGACTGAAGGGCCATTGTGTCGCTTTCCAGTGGTAGCAGTCAGGCTTTGTTCCCTGTGTTGTTCATCATTAGCATATCAATATTCAAAGGGGCTGATGCCGGGCAGAGGTGGCAGCCTTTTTAGCCTAGAGTAGACCCTCATGCACAAATAAAGAAACCTGCATTCGACTCTGAAGGACCAGCTGTTGAGCTAAGCCCATAAAGATAAGATTCATCTGACTTTGAGTGTTTGTCCATTTTCTATTTTTTTAAGTTCCCAAATATCCTTTCCAATGTACGGTACATTTGAAGCACTTTTGAAACATTTCTCCCATTCTCGTGGGTGAATAACAAAGGGCTAAATGGTGTCACCCATTCCACCCCTCACCACCCCTCCAGCAGGCCTCCCTCCCCTTCCTCTCCTCCAGCCAGCTGACCCCACGACTGGTAGGCCGGAGGACAGTTAACCTTGTGTGTGTGTGTGTGTGTGTGTGTGTGTGTGTGTGTGTGTGTGTGTGTGTGTGTGTGTGTGTGTGTGTGTGTGTGGTGTGTGTGTGTGTGTGTGTGTGTGTGTGGTGTGTGTGTGTGTGTGTGTGTGTGTGTGTGTGTGTGTGTGTGTGTGTGTGTGTGTGTGTTGGAGGGGCAAAGCCACCAGATAGTGTCGGTTACTCCGAGGGCCAAGCGGAAAAGCGGTTGGGCAGTTTAGCCAGCTGCTGGGGGAGCGAGCCACGGCAGGCCTGGTCAGTGAAACCTTGCCAGATGGAGCCATTTCAAAACAATGAGAGCTGCTTGCTAGGGTTGAAAACTAGAGGCTGGTTGCTCAGGGGACGCAGAGGGCGGGCCTTTATCTACAGTATCTACACCCTGTGCTTTGGTTTGCATTATCGGAAAACTTGTCTTTTGGTCAGGAACTTATTCCAGCAGAAATGTTGTATTTTTAAGTTTCACAACAGATTTTGTTGATTTATTTCACTAGCAGCAAGTGATTCAATCTGATCCGATTTACCCATATTAGTCTTCCACTGTTGAGGTTTGTTGTTCAGATGCACAAGTCATTCTCTTGTCGTCTTTGACATCATCTTGCTAACTATTTATTTCTCTGAATATGTTCTCTCTCTCTCTCTCACTCTTATACGCACAAGTTTGCTCTCCTCATCTCTATCTCCAGACAGCAACAGGCTGAGTGTCCTGGGACTACTCCGCTTAGGAGTAACCAAGCCTGGGTAATGAGGCGTGTGATTGGTCCCCTCCCTCTTGAACAAGGCCAGTCTTAGCAGCACATGATTGATCATGACAGTAGCACAATGGTAGCCTGGTGTCAGAGGGGTGGCATGGGTGCACATGGACCCCCGTAGTAACACTCAGTCACCCAAATCAGTTACACACACATGCGCACACACACATATTCACATGTATGTGCATAATTCAGGACAGCACAGAGGCACTTGTTGATGTATGCACAATTTAAAATGACAAGTAAAAAAAACAAGATCATGTGCCCCAATATGTTTATTATAATGCATAAAAGGCCACACCGGCAGACTGATCAATTTAAATAAATTCTGTTCGGATCTGAGAAACCTCCCTCTAGAGACAGGCAGTGTATTATGGGCTTATAATCAATGTATTGCATTCGTCTACTCTAACTTTTGTCATAAGTTAAGGCCTTTGATGGTAACATTTCTCTCTTCTTAAAAATTGCCTTTGCAGTTCATCTCTTCTGAGTGCAAAAATACAAACATAAGCTGAGATAAATGCAATACATTAAAAACAACAGATCTCCGTAAAGATGTGTATTCGTAAATCCATTGTCTTTTCAGGTGAGTGCCCTCACTTGAAAACAGAGCTTTCATGTGCTGCATCCCATGTGTTCTTTTCAAGAGACCCTTAAGGGCCGAGGCTTGTCTCATCCACTTGAGAACCTTTTGATCCTGCTCATATTCAAGGTTATAAAATCAAGTTCCAATAGTTGTAAATGCTGAATATTAATAGAGGATCCTTACTGGCTGATTGCAGCTGCATTCTCAAGTAGTTCCCAGGTGTTTTAAATCTTTACCAATTTTCTGAGATGATGCTCTAGGTTTTGCAGAGGACAAACACAACAGGATAAAAGCCTTGGCATGTTTTCAGGGTTGGCTCATCATGATATTCATGCAGGGGAGCTGAGGATACAGGGAAATACAATGTTTGTTGGCAGTGGCAGTATCTGCATAGTGTTACAAAACAACTTCACATTTGTATTGCTAATTGCTGATTAGTTTATCCCTAAAATGTCTCCTTAAGCTAATATTGTCTTTTAATATAAGCAATAGGTTTGTTGTTAATGTTTATCAAGATAATATTGATTATGATTCCAACATTTTCAGTGAGGGTTATTTGAGATTTTTATTTGATAACGTTTTAAATGTGCATGAGACACTACTATGCCCATCTTAACCACGTACTGCGTTAAATTGCAAAGACTCTCTCCTCAAAGCAGGCTTGTTGTTGTTCATGTAGTCTAATCTTATTTGCTACAGTGGCTTTAGGTTACTCTGTACATCTCCTTCCAGATTTACAAACAGTTTTCGCTTAATCTGCGTAAAGATCCACACTGACTTGTTGACCAGAGATTACTGCTCATGAAAACACCCAAAATGTGCTTGTTATCCTTGAAAACAAATATCCATAGATATCGTTTTTTTTTTTTAAACCATGTGTTTGTTGTGGAATTTCTGGAATGAGGGGGAGAGGATGTTGAAGTACAATGACTAAAGAATGATTTATTTCCAACTTTGTGAGGCTAATTGCCCTGAATGGACTAATGAACAGCACCGATCTAATTGGCTTACAGCTCTTGTGGCCTGGCGTGCTGGGCGAGTAAAATTGAATCAAAGCTGTAGGACTCCGTCAGAGTAGTTTTGTGCGCTGTGGTGGTAATTGGTGCAGTGTCAAAGGCATGTGCACTGAGCCAAAATGCAGCCCAGCTCTGCACAAGCGAGTGAATTCAAATAGTGTAAGAATGCATTGTTTTTAAGAAAGAACAAAAGAAAGGTATTACAATTTAACCTCTGTGCATTTTAATATTTTAACTCGTTTTTTCCACTTGCACCTAACCGTAATCATATGGGTCATTTTTTCAAAAATAAGGGTATTTTAATTTAGTTAGGTAAAACTAGTACGTGTTAATCATTGAAAACTATTCCCAACAGTTAAGATGCGCAGCTAATATAACAGTATGTATGCTATCCCTTACAACAGTAATGATATACGGTCTATTTTTTAACAAACAAAAGAAAAACGCAGCGATACAAATGCAACAATGTCCCAAACACTGCCCAATTGCCCCATTGTGCCCCGTGAAAGACAGACACGTGCACCAAAACATAGATAAGGAGAGAAGAGGGAGGAGGGGGGGCAAGTGTTTGTGTCTGTGCGTGCGCGTGTGCGAGTTCTTAAAGATAGCCACGGGGGATGTAGGAGCACACACGTCTTCAGCCTGTAGAGAAACTCCCCCTTCAGCACCCTGGACAGAGGCAGCGCTGCCCGCCGGGTACTTGAGTATTTCAGTAAGGTCTCAGGCAGCCGGGCTCACAGTCAGGTCAGCTGCTGATGGTCAGACACTTTTCCACTGCCACACGCCCCTTGTTTTCACCCCACCTCGAGCTTATCCACGCGGAATCAAAGAGCAACTTGATGAATATTCACAGTTTACGTCCTCGGTGGCTGACGAACCGTGAAAGGTCGACTGGTTTTCTTTTTAACATTTTTTTAGAAATCGAGCTGCCTTCGAATCGATCTCAACTCCAGAGGATACATCTCCAGGAAACTGCCGGTTTGAGTCCATCGTCACAGTAGTTTGATTTAATTTTTGACCACAGGCGTTTCGACGCTACTGTTCTTCTGTTGGGACATCGGAACATCTTCAAAATGTTGCTTGAACACCCGGGGTCAAGCTGTCAAAGCACCGGCAATTTCTCCCGGTACAGTTCAGGACAAGGTAAGAAAACCATTTTAACGAATCACACTGTGCACATGCATTAAAATGTGGTTTTAGGGGAAGAGCCAGGAAGAGATTAATATGAATTGATGTCCTGGGGTCAGTTAATGAGTTTAAATTGGCCGTGGAAAATAAAGGATAATACATCAGATCAGCACAGCAGGCTCTCTGAAGGCGGCCCTTGTTTTGCTCAGCGAACTCTGACAAGCGTGAAATAGACCTTGTTAACTGGTTTTATCCTATTTTGGAAAGGCACTCACTTTAACTTTTGATCATTTCTGTATTCCAAATATTATTTTTGTAGACATTAAAAAAGTGAGAAAAAAATACAAAGAGTTGAAGAAAACAGTCTGGTATCCACCAACCCATGTTGATGTATACAGAATATTTAGAGGCGCTTTCTTTTGCGCTGCGTGTGGGAGACGTTATGAATCTGTAATGAGCCTTCATTGTTGGAGAATCACACGAACAGATGTTATGCGCGTGCTGTCATTTCACGCCACCGCTTGTGGTTGTAACGGGAGTGCAGGCTGGGTGCAGGGAGCAGATACGGAGACCACCGGACCCCCCTGGCTCTATCTGCCAGCAGGCGCGGAGCGGCTCCCCCCCCGTAGTCCACCGACCCGAAATGCTCAACAGGTGCCCTGACAGGTGGGACACCTGAAGTTGGAAGTGAAGGTGATGATGCTTCACTTAAAAAGTTAAATTATTGGAGACTTGTATAATTATTTACTGTCGTCCAAAGCTGGAAAATACCTGTTTTATTTATTTAGGCGTGTTACTCGAATTATCTTTTTTGTTATTGTAAGGCTGCATTCATAAGGCAACACAAAACATTCATTTGACTTAAAATATAGATTATGGAGAATAAAACTCAAACATATTTTTTAAACGTGTTATCTAATTTATTTGAGCCAAATACAAAAATGTAAATTGAGACAAGAAAAAAATAAATAAATAAAACGTGAATTTACCTGATCATTCTTGTGTCTTTCTCTAACTGACTGACCCTTTCTTTGATGGTCATTTTATCGCTTTGTTGTTGCATTACTGCCTGGCGCACCCCCTCAAAAGTGAGCGATCAATATGACATAAAAATATTACAAAGCTGAAAGTAAGAGGGGCACCCATGAACCCCGAACCTTTCTCCAAAACGTCTTTCATATACTTCTAAAATGCAGGCAAATAGGACATTGATTTTGGATTCATCAGCGGCCCGGCTGCTGTGGCACTACCTGTGATTTCCCAAGGCGCTCTTTTGTGCCAAAGATCAGTGTCAATAAAATTCATTGGGGTGTTGGCCCGATCAACATGTTATTGAACAGCCAATCTCTCCCCTAAATAAACACTTGTCTTTGAGCACATGAGATGAAGATTGTGTGTGCGTGAGGCCGTGTATGTGTGTGTGTACCATATTCAAAATTACATTGTTGCATCTGATCAGAGCATCTGATTTATGCATTGCTTTATTAGCAAGTATAACAGTTGTATACTGTTATTGGAATGTTGTGTAATCATATTAATAATAATATAGACAAATAAAACCATGTATTTTGTATCTTCTTCCAAGGTAGAAATAATGTTACCCGTTTGTTAAATAGAGCGATTATTTGAGAACAATTGTTTGTTTTATGTTCTGCAGGATATAATATGAATTCATGAAAAAGGCAAAGGTTTTTAAAAGACCTCTCCCATCAGGGCCCAATCTTTCCTTTGCGCATGGCAGAGCTGGAATCCGAATTAAAAACGGAAAGCCCAGGCGAGTCCTCTCCACACACTCACATTATGAGTCAACAACATAATGGTGTCTAGTTCCCTGGATTTTTTGAGGCTGTGGATCGAGTTCGTTTTGTTGTTTTTAAGTGTTCATTTGCATCAGTTCTAAGTCCACGCAGGGATCATTAACATTTTAGTATCTATCTTAACTAATGCCATGTTGGGCTTCTAACTGAAAACAGTTAAGAAAATATATCGCATTTACTCCTGTATATCGTTATCAATTACATAATATTACCATTTTACCTTTTTTCAAAGTGGTATTTGCATGCATTATGTAACTCTCAAAGCATGATCACTGTTTAAAAGCCTTAACCTTTTGTATTTATCATTTTATATATTATCGAAAAAAGGGCAATCATGTCGTCCAATCTGGTGAAAATGCATTGATAGATCTCTTGAGTTTCAAAGTGGATGTTATTATTTCAGTTTGGTAACAAAATAAAAATAACAGACATGATTCTATATATTATTTCATCATTTTGGCGAGTTATAATAGTAGGCTATATATCTATACCACAACAGTAAAACTATTGGTTATTCTTCTCACCTCCTGCATGTGTATTCTTCTTCCGGGTAGGGTAGGTAGGTGATGTTAATCTATCTGCCTGTCGCCCAGGAAACGGCGCAGCGTAATCCACCACAGGCTTCAACTCAGTGAAGCATAAAAGCATCTCCACTGCGCGCTCGTGTTAGCTTTTGGGCTCCTGGTACACCCATTTGACAACACTTGATTCCTGCATATGCGTGTGGATATAAACCAAACAAGATATATTTGATTTAATATAATCATGAGCTATGGATGGACATGGTGATCGCAACTCTCTAAAAGAGACACCAAAAAACACGGAGATGCTCATTGCTTTGCTATCGCACAGTGAGGAGCTACTGAAAGGTAACCGGAAGCCAACATGTAATCAATTTGTTCGTTTTTGCATTGTTTTGCTTGCATATGTTGTAGCCTACTGTAGCGTATTTGGGCCTTTTCTATTGGCTAGTTGCAGTTTGTTGATAATATTTCCATCATGGTAAATTAGTGTTTACTATCATGGATAATGAATGCTGTGCAGTGGCTTTAATTCCGGCAAATTGTCCTGTCGAGCGAAACAGTTTTACAGCTGGTGCCATTTGAGTTGCTCCAGATCTTTTACGCATCAGGCTTTTATTTGACCTTTGATTTATCTGAATGATCGTTCAAATGTACATGTATCATATTTTATATTTAGTGCTCTTTTTTGGAGACTTACTCCAGGGAAATTGTTTTTACGCATTGTTGAGTCTAACCTAAAGCTTTTTGGTCACGGTCCAGACGGTTTTATTGAAGAATACAGTTCTTGCTAATACGTTTCTGTATACTATATACGTTTTTCTAGGAGCTTTGGTTGAATGGTGGTATGTTTAATATTAAGAGACCCCAATGTGTTCATTTACACAGGCCCATTCTCAGCACGACATTATTATGTGATTCATCGAACCTCACCTGCTCCAACGTTACATAATGTACATTTACGCACGAAATTGCCATTTGGATATGCATGCATGTTTATTTTTAATCTTCCAAGTGGGCCCACTAAGGCGAACAATTAGCTTGGACGCCTTATTGGTTTTACCTATAGGCCGCAGCTTTCTAGTTTTACAGCGCGCACTGAATAAATGATGGCCTGTGTACACCTGTTCTTGACGGGGCTCCCACCAGCACACTTGTGCAGTGTTTCACTGGTGATGCCAGAAGAAATGGTTCATTAATGTGCCATGAATTGTCTACAACAGAACAATAGGAACAAGACTCCTTGCACGGATAGAATATAAAGTGCTTGAGCATTATTCAATTAATAATGAGGAGGACTGATAACGTCATACTTGGCATACAGATTTCTCTTTTTTTTCTTTAATACAGCGTTTCTCTTAAGCACTCGTTATTGTGTTCAAATATCTCAAATGGAGATTATTTTGTATATATTGTAGGCTTCTCTGTCTGAAACTGACCTTGCAAAAATATCCTGCTGCTTGTTAAAGATGATGACACGTGACAAAATAAAAAACAGCCGATCACCACTCGATTAACGAGCTATTAATTCCCAAGATGATCCTGAAGCTTACTTATTCATGGGTATCAAAGTCTTTTCTTTAAAGAATCCTGCTAACTTTGATCTGTGCTGTTGGATTTATGTGAATTTATTTTATTCTAGTAAAATCGTTTGACAGAATAAGCACAGTTCGATATAAATCTCAGAAAGTGTGGTGGTCTGCTATCGCTACAATATTCTCTGATGTCCATATGTATTCAGAATCATTCTAAAGCATGTTTCAAACACATGAAACGTTTTTTGCCAAAAAAATGTAAAATTAAAAAATAAGATGACTACGTTTAAATCATAGACTTAATTGTTTTTTCTTTTTCGATCTCAGTTTATTATAACCGAATAACATATGTGTATGATGTAGTTGATAAAGTCCCTGCTCAAACACTTTTGTTTGACGGACGTTACAAATATCTGTATGTTTTCAGTTGTTTAATGTTGGCTGACGTTTGACTGTGCAATACAATTATGATTTGTTATTATGGTACTTAGTTGTTTTTGATTGATTTGGTAGATTAATTGATTTTTGGATATAGGTAATTTATCAAATACAATTTGATATCATTTAATGTATAGATTAAAAAAATACTATCAAACAACCAAATATTTCAAACATAAAAAAGAGACAAGAAGGTGAGTCATTGTTTAGATATATTCATATTAATTTCTGATTTGAAGGGTGACGTCACATTTTTGAGCATCCGTCTTGCATAATTAAACGTGTGTACATTAACAGATCATTACTTTAAGTACGCGTAGACATATTAAGGACAATAAGCTGGATCAGATGTCACTCAGTAAAATGTTTCCCCATGCAAACTGTATCTAATATAAATTGAATTAACCAAAACGATTCGATCATGTCTCCTGCAGAAATCCCAGTATGTGCAGGCTGCAATCAACACATCGTGGACCGCTTTATCCTCAAAGTGCTGGATCGCCACTGGCACAGCAAGTGCCTGAAATGCAGCGACTGTCAGGCGCAACTGTCCGAGAAGTGCTTCAGCAGGGGCGAGAGCGTCTACTGCAAAGAGGATTTCTTCAAGTGAGTAGAAAAACTATTAAACACTTTTATTTATTTATTTTCAATACATCTTTTACTATTTAGAATTAATTGATCGAAGGTTATTATGTATTGATGAAAACGTCTAATTTCCAAAAGGAGATTCGGGACCAAGTGCGCAGCCTGTCAGCAGGGCATACCGCCCACACAGGTGGTGAGGAGAGCGCAGGACTTCGTGTACCACCTGCACTGCTTCGCCTGCATCGTGTGCAAAAGGCAACTGGCCACAGGTGACGAGTACTATCTGATGGAGGACAGCAGGCTCGTGTGCAAAGCCGACTACGAGACCGCCAAACAGAGAGGTGAGGAACAAAATGCACATCTTCACATTTCTGTTTGTGGCCTGAAAATTGCGTCATGTTCAGACCAAACCACGATGCGTTTGTATGCACACTTGTTTTTTAAGTACCTGCTCTGAGTTGTGAGTCAGACGTGACAATGAGGTCACCCATAAAGCCTGACCCACCTGCGCTAATTGCGTCGTTGCCTGCAACCCAATCGATAGCAAACTGCGTAAAGTGGAGGCCTGGAGGCTTCCACTTGCACTCTGCACTGCAAGGAATCAGCTTTCAATAACTCTTATTACAGTATGTGTAAGGAGTAAGGACAGAGCTAGAAATGTAGGCCTGGATGTGTATATGAGAATCTAAAATTAAGAAACAATGTATTATTATGTTTAATTATGTTAATGGTGCTAGAATTGTTTGAGCTATTATAAATATCGAAATACTTTTAAATGAAACGTGCAATTTAGCTCAATTAAAATGTACACTTTAATAGTTTTTTCTCTTAAAATCTACAGTTGCAGTACATTCACCCTGTATGCTTTTATTAGTGTATAGGAACTCTCTCTAAATATTAAATGCATTTTCATATTAACTCATATTAATACTTTCTTTTCAAATATAATAAATGTTCCTTAAAGCAACATTGCACACAAGTTGTGAACAATCAAGTGGCAAAAAGTTCCATTAAGCCATTTTTATCAAAAATATATTTTTACCCCAAAAAGTACATAGCCTACCATTGTATACAGTAGTCATTTGAACCTCAATGAGCAAATAAATAACAATTATATCAAGTGTTTAAACCAATTTATGATCACTTCTTTATGTATAGAGATAGTTAATTTGTGGCAGTTAAATCTACTCGCATGTGTTGAGAAATAGTTAATAACATTTCAGATTTTCTTCCAAAGTTATTAAATGCACAACATTTTTCTTTAAAACCCTGACCAAACAACCAATACCACAGTATCTTCCCAGCAGGCTGTGGTCCTGATAGGGCAGAGTTTTTATCTCCCCATCTGTTTGTTTGAATTTACTGCCCAGCACCAAGTGTTGATTTACGCAGTGAGTTAACGCAAGTTTTCACTAAAAACACACATGTTTATTTTACTAATGAGAGGGCGCAATTACTTGGGCAGCATCCATTTGGATGATGGTTTTGCATTTTGCTGTGCTGGCCAATAGATGTGCAGACATGATGCAATTATGCACAGGAGGCCAGAGTGTTGGTTTATAGGCAGTGCAGAATTTATCCTTTTTTATGATAAATTATAAAGTTTATGATACGGGACATTTATGCTATGGGTTACGGTGAATGTGTGTTTCTATACAAATTTAAGGTCACTTTAATGATCCAAAAATAGATACAAATCAAGAGTTTATCCCAGGCAATATGGAAAGTTGATAGTAATATTTGTCTTATCATAATTTTCCATGGTGTTGCATTTAATTGAAAGTATTAGATGGATTTCTTTCATTTAATGTGAATTCTCTCATTTGTCTTTTGTCTTGATTATTCAACTATTTCAAGACTAAACCATATTTCTTGAGACTTCTGGCCTGGAAACTTGGAGACACAGTCCATCGTTGGCTTACATTGTGTGTTCTCCATTCTCTTTTCAGAGGCAGACTCGACTGCAAAAAGGCCACGAACCACCATCACTGCTAAACAGCTGGAAACACTGAAGAACGCCTACAATAACTCTCCCAAACCTGCCCGCCACGTCCGAGAGCAGCTATCGTCAGAGACCGGCCTGGATATGCGGGTTGTGCAGGTAAAGTGTATTATTATCCATTAAGGGCTACTCCATTAGTGTTCTGACTTCATTATCAAGGGACAATTGTGGCCAAACTGGCACAAGCCTACTGTACGAATAAGCGTGTGAGTGTGTAAGTGTGTGTGTGTTGGGGGGGAATTTACGGCTAGATGGAGTAAAATGAAGTCCACATGAAAGTCAGCCCAGTTTAAGTGCAAACTCGTTAACAATGCTAAGAGGGCCCCTCGCATATTGTCTGCTGCTGAGGAGCCTCACGCCGGTTGCTAGGTGGTGGTCATATATATTGTTTTATTTGCAAGGACAAAAGTAGAGACGGAAGCCACTAAAATGCTCCTCATTATTCAGTGAAAGGGAAGGGGTGAAGAGGGTTCACTTAGGGCGGAATATCATTAAGGAGAATGTAAAATTGCTTTTTGTGCCTGTGACGAAAAATTAATACATTTTGTACGTAAGATAAAATAATAAGAAATGTTCATTTTGTATCAGAAATCATATCCATGTGTGAGGTAGTTGAGGTGTATGACCATGTTGTGTTTGTGTTTTCAAAAGCTTAAATTGACAGTATAGTATAGCACTTAATTCAAAAAGGAGAATAGAGGAAACTCTGAATAATTGAAACTAGTGGCACGTTAACCTGTCTGCACCTTGGGGTGAGGAGAACTTGTAGCTGGTGCTAAGTTAATTAAATGCGTGATAAATCTCATGAGGATTACTCCTCAGTGTCACTGTTTGGGGTGCAAAGCCGTGTCCAGATAGTCCTTGAAAACTGAATCCTTTATCTTTTTAAGCATAATATCTGCATCAGCGAAAGAGCAGAGGACTTTGCATGTAGATGACTTTGAATTGTTAGGCACAAGGACTAAAAACAATGTTGACTTGTATTGTCCTGAAGAGGATTATGTAAATAAGGTGAATTAGCTAATTGTCCTAGAAAGCCTTTTGTTTCTGTGTGCTAAAAGTGTGTTGTTTACAAAATGAAGAACTTGAGGCAACACAAATGATTGCTGTTCTTTTTATCTTATACCCAAGCTGATGTCTCACTGTTTTAAACAATTACATTTGGTCATTAACAAACAGGACATCTTTTTCCCTCCAGGTTTGGTTTCAGAACAGGCGAGCTAAAGAGAAAAGACTGAAGAAAGACGCCGGTCGGCAGAGGTGGGGGCAGTACTTCCGCAACATGAAGAGGTCACGAGGAAGCTCCAAATCTGACAAGGACAGCATTCAGGAGGAGGGCCTGGACAGTGACGCTGAGGTGTCCTTCACAGGTACAACCACACAAAGTGAATGGGCGATTTTAGACACATTTTAACAAGCTAACTGCTAACACACTTGCAAAACGGGCACATTTTCATGCTATGCATAGTGTTGTTGTGTTGTTGTGCTGCCCTTGTCTTTTTTTCCCACGCTTTGTAGATTATTTGAATCAATAATTGAGATATTGAGGATGTGACAATACTATCCAAGCTAGCCAAGCACAAATGTTAAGGATATATGTACCAGGAATCGGTTATTTTCACTGTGGATTATTACAGTTTTAGTAACCTCACTCTTGTCATGTTTTTTACAGATGAACCACCCATGTCGGAGCTGGGCCTCACTAACGGCATCTACAGCAGCCTGAGCGACACTTCTCCGGGCATCGGGGGCCGTCAAGGCGACAACAACCACAGCTCCTTCCCCCTGGAGCACGGGGTCCTCCCCTCTCAGGACCAGTTCCACGACATCCGCTCAAACAGTCCCTACGGCCTCCCTCAGTCGCCGGGATCGCTTCAGGGGCTTCCCCGACACCAGCCCCTCATCTCCAGCTTGGTCTACCCTGACTCCGGCCTTTCCATCATGACCCAGGGCAGCGGGCCTGGTATCAACCCCGGGGTGAGGGTCTCCATGGGGGCTGCCAACGGCCCCAGCTCAGACCTCTCGACTGGCAGCAGCGGAGGATACCCAGACTTTCCTGCCAGTCCTGCCTCGTGGTTAGATGAAGTGGACCACGGGCAATTTTGATTGGTCAACATTAAGAAATTGGACTCTATTTCTTCTTTTTTTTTTGTTTTCTGTGTCTTCTGTTGGATTTAAGGAGTTGGGAAATCAGGGCAGTGATTCTGCAAAGGACTAGACTGCTGTCTTTGGATCTCCAAATGATCTGATAAACAGGTTCATTTACATCTGGTATATTGATGAAAGGAAGGAGGAAATTGTCCTCCATTAAAAGCCCTTTGCTTGTCCTTCAGTAGTAAAAACTGTATGTAAAGCAAGAAATCTGTGAAAATGTTCCGTTTTCAGATACCACTATAAGCTTTTTCATCAATGAGACTCTTTCTTTCATTTGGATTTTCACCAACTCGCTCTCTCTACTCTCATCTCTTTGTTTTCCACACTGTGTTTAGGGGCAGAATTCAGTTTACCGTTCAGAGTCTTTAAATGTCTGGTTGTTGCCAAATGTCTATATATAAATATATAATGGTTTATCATTGCGGAGACTTTATTTTTATACAAACCCCCTTCCTGGACATGAATAAGAAACCCAGATATGAGGACTTTGTACATTCTTAAACAGGGATCTAGGCAAAATGTAGATGTTGTCTTAAATGGTACCTAGGGTCCAATTACTTCTATGCATTTGTGTGTTCTCACATGTATCTCGTTTGTTTTGTTCTACAGAAAACAAGCCCAAGGAAGAGCTTGCTGTAGCACATGGGGTTCGATGTATATGTTTGTTTATGTGGAAAATGTTTTATGTCTTATTTATTCCCTCTGGTAATGATGATGACGATGATGATGATGATGATGATTCCTGGTTAAATGGCAGGACTTTAATAAATTTGTCACCTAAATTAACAATGGAGTTCTATCCTTTTTGGTTGAATTACAACATTGTGCATTGACAGTGGTTAAGCAACTTGTATTCATTTCCTACTAATTTAAAATGTGTTGTCCAAGCCAGGAAACATGAGACCACGGGTAGATCCATCCCTGTCTTATATCGTGCATCCATCTATCGTTTGCATTTATCTATATCTCTGAAACAAGAGCACACTCACAGTTCTGCCTGTGTCTGCAAATTGAGTATCTGGCTAACTACCAACACTGTATCAGGGGTTCAACGGCTCTTTAGTGGAGAAATGTGATGCAGACAGAGTCAACTCATCAATTCAAAGATTACTGGGTCTTGTTTGCCCAAATGCCCCTATGGGAAAGGAATCTCCAATCCATTAGCCGAGAAGGGATCAAGTGCCCCTTGTGAATTTCCTCATTTGTTTAGTTATTCAAAGTCAGGTTCAATTAAGTAGATTAAACAGTGTGTGTGTGTGTGTGTGTGTGTGTGTGTGTGTGTGTGTGTGTGTGTGTGTGTGTGTGTGTGTGTGTGTGTGTGTGTGTGTATTCGCTTTTATAATGGCGTGTGACATAAATGCCTTGGGTGATTATTAAGTGATGCATTTTCAACCTGCTACTTTATTTAACATTTATTATAATGTATTTCTAAAACCAAGACTGGGAGAATTTTGTTTATTTTGGACAACCAGAAGTGAACATGTATTCAATACTAGGCTTGAAGTACTTGGGCTTGGATGAAGTAAGTACTTTTTTTTTATTCTCAGTACATTACATTTACTTCATTTCTGGAGGAACATTGTACTTTCTACTCCTCTACATTTACAGCTATAGTAACATTTTACCTCGTACACAAGGATTGAACATGAAAAACAAAACAAAAAACTATACATTTAACTTTCAAGCAGAATAGAAAGTAATAGAAATTCCCCCTGCATAGTCCAGCAACATTAAAATACTTTCTTCACATAAATTAATTGCTATAATTGTGAAACACTGAGGGGGAAAATATTTTTGAGAAGTTTTCATTTTGAAACTTTATTGTAAGTATATTTGCTTTAAGTTATTCTCAAAGTCTTACAAAGTAAATAGTGTTGTGTTTCTATTGTGTTTCTAAATGCACTAATGTCTTCCTGCATGGTCGTGCAGCTTTTTTCTGTAAAGCATGACATGTATGAAGGTTAGAGCCAGCTGTCCTCCGACCTTTTGTTTTGATGTGCAACCTCCAACTTCCTCCCCCGTTAATGGCTGGCTGCTCTGCTCCTCAGGTTCCCACAACAAGAAAAGAAACCCCGCACAGGATATCCAGCTGAATCCTTCCAGCTGAGTGGCAGGTATCATTGTTGCCTCGCAAAAGCCACAGGTGTGTAACTCGACCCAAATGGAGTTTGGCAAAGTCAGTAAGGGGGTGAGAGTGAGTGTAAAAGGCTGTGTTAATCCCCCTAGATACCCACCTTGTTCGCTTTTCTAAACTGTTTGTATTTGGGGTTAAACGGGCTGATGTGAAGAATTTTTTGAATGCATGGAATTTGTTTTTTAAACACAGCGGCAGACAGGCTCTGCCACACAGCAGGTGTGAGATTTTGGTGACCACGAGATGAACTCTTCTTCGCAAATAACGGGGATTAACCCACCCCACTCTTTCCGATTGAGTTGTAAATCCAGCGTTTTCTGAGTAAAGAATAAGATTAAGTTGGATATGCAATTTGTCAGATGGCTTGTGTAAAACTGGCGGAAGTAGTTTTTAGTGAGGTGTTAGTGTCAGCAGCATGACTGTGGGGAGCTTCACAATAATTAAGTAAATGGTGGGAAAAAAATCTCTTCTTCGTAGTGATGAAGTGTAGAGCTAAAGATGCTGAGAGACACAAGATCTGGTTGTATACAATGGTGTTAACAAACACTTGTTTAAATCAATATGTCATCAAACAATGAAATGTTTTTGTTGCACTAAAGAGTAATACAATTATTTGAACAGGAGAATTTATTATCGATTTCATTTGAATGTTAGATATCGCCCCTCATTTTGAGTCTCATGCAGTATCCCTCATATTATCCGGGATATGAGAAATAGTGCTCAGGTTCACGCACTATTACAACTCCTCTTTAAGAATTAGAAATGGCTCAGATGAAAAGAAGATTTAGTTTGGCCCTTACTGACACAGGACTGTGATTGGATTAGAAATAAAAAATCTACCATGCAATTTCTCAGATAGAGCTTTTTTTATTAAAAATATGTAATCCCTGGTTGCTTTAGGAATATTTGGATTACTGGATATATCTCTCAAGATAAGGCCTCGTCCTAAATGTGCAGTGTATTTTAAGATGATAGAAAAAGTTAGTAGTCATATATTTCAGTTGAGTTTTAAAAATAATAATAAAATAATTGTGTGTGTATTGTGAGATTTAATATTGTGTTCAGTCTAATTTACTTATGGGTTTAGCAATAGTGTATTATTGATTTAAAATGTATAAAAGTAATGAGACAAAATAAACAACAAAAAATTAGACAGGAAAAATGTATTTCTTATAAAGTCACTAGCCCACAAGAATATTACTAGACTAGAAAATCATAAATATAAATTGTTATCCTTATGATTGTTAAGGTTGCCCATTGCTTCACATCTTCTGTTAAACTGTTGCTTTTGACTGTCCTTTCTGTAAAGGACTCTTAGCCTGGCAGTGTGCCTGTTGTCTCTCTCTCTCTCACACACACACACACACACACACACACACACACACACACACACACACACACACACACACACACACACACACACACACACACACACACACACACACACACACACACACACACACACACACACACACAGAGGCCTCCCAGCCCCATGTCAGATGGTGCTGAGTAAATCAGGTCTGACAATAACACCTCCCTTGGGTCCCACACATCACAGCTACAATTCAGACCTAATGGAGCAGCAAAGGAGGGGAGGCCGCATGGTGCTTGTGTTGGGGTGTGTGTGTGTGTGTGTGTGTGTGTGTGTGTGGGTGGGTGGATGGTTGTGGGTGTGTACGACGTACACAAATGTATGCATGGAAGCAGCGTTTCATTTTGGGGGAAAGAAGTGAAGGAGCGCAGAGGATTATCTGTGGAACAAATATCAATCAATTAGGGGAACGTTTAAATGCAAGTTCCTGCAGTGATTAGGGCTTTGGGGCAATATAGATGCTGGGGAAACTGAGAGGAAAAGGATCTTCAGCATACATCAATAGAACATTTTTTTAGAGGACTTAGAATAGTTTGATTTTCAATTAGGAATACAAAAAAGCTAAGCCTAAAAGTTGCTGAATGTCCATAACTAGTCAAGCCCCAAGCCTGTTTTCAGGTCTCAGGCTTGAAAAGGACATTCCCAGAACAAATAACTATATCTTCACTTCTAAAAGGGGTAAATTAATAATCTTTTTTCTCAAAGCAAAGATAAACCTGTGAGTTGGATGTAGAGGAGTCAGAATCAATATTCATGTTTTTATTTTAAAGTAAATTCAGATTGAACATGGTAAAAAAGATTTTTAATTATAGTTTCCGTCCCAAAAAAAACATTACTTATAGTGAAAACCACCCTTGAATGATGAGATAGTAGACAAAAAGCTTTAGGAATCCAAACTATAACATATAATAAGTACCCTGTATCAAGATTGATGCAAAATAAGTGAAATTTGAGCTTTTTAGAGAGATTTAGAAGAAAAAAAACACTTCTGGGGTCATTTGGGTGCATTTGCCATATCTCTGGAACCCATCGGTCGATTTTGATGATTGACACCTCTTTTTAACTGATAGAGCCAATGGAATCGAGAGGGAAGTTCCTAAATCCATTTAAACATTACCATTGGTGAATGAGTGATGCGCAGCCAGCATGCCCAAAACCGGAAGCTGTCATACACTCTCGTAGCTCTCATAGCAGCTCAGTTTTTTACATGAATGTTAATGATGATTATCAGTAATCATTTCAAAGTGACACAGACACATTGGATTAACCATTGGATTAAACTTCAGCAGCGTTTTTATGCGTTTTAAAGCCATTGAACATAACTTTTGATCAGAAAATAGCAAAGGCGTATTTGCCGTTTTGGCCCTGTAAAGTTGTGTGTTGTCTGGTTTCGCCCTCGCTGCCCTGAGTTTTGGTCACACAGTGATGATACGTATACCATTGGAA